CTGCATTTTGATGAGGCTGTCAGACTGCAGTGAGAATCCACCCTCCGTGGCCAGGTGCTACTTTTCTGTGCTGCTCTAGTAGTAGTCCAGTTTAATGTCAGTTAGAGAACAAGAGGAGGACAAAGGCAAAACGATGGACCTCAAGCGGAGAACTTTACAATATTCTGAATGAATACAAATGTATTTTTGTTCATGCTGCTTTGAGGCTAAATGTTTAAAAGCTGAGTTTGACTCTACATAGCAGTTTGTTCTTTCATATTTGTCGAGCTTTGGCATGTAGATTTTTGATTGTCTTACATAAGTGAGGTAAAACAATGGACTAAAAAGGAGGGCAGAAAAAATCAATAATGTCATAATGTCAAACCAAATGACTTTGTTGTTTCTGACTTTCTCACTCTCAAGCTTCAAAAAGTACATGATAGCATTATAAAAACATCATAAAAGTTGTCCTCATGACTCTTGTGCTATAGGTTACATTTCAAGTCTTCTAAAGCCTGATCTGATAGTTTTGTATGAGGAAATTATCAAAATGAAAGTTGTTCTAAACTAATAATCTTCCCTTGAAATGAACTGCAACTAGATCATTGAGTAAGTCGAGAACCTGATCAATCCGATTTGTGAATAAATCATTCAGATCGAACCATTAAGATTAAACCATTTTGTAAAGTGAATCAGCTTATTCAAATCATACGACTGAATAATTAAGATTGAACCATTTTGTAAAGTGAATCTGTTTACTGAAATCAACTGAATTATTTTGTAAAGTGAATCAGCTTATTCAGCAAAAGGTCTGAAGGCTGAACAGAGCTGGTCCTCAATCACGTTCATTAGATGGAAATGAGTCATTTGGGTTTGAAATGACATGAGGGTGAGTAAATAATGACAGATTTTTCATTTTTGTCCACTGAGTATCTAATCAAACATTTTGTCTTTTATAGTTCTGGGACAGGATCAAACTGATTATGATGCCAGCGAAACACCAGCCAGATTTTTCATACCTGCGGCAGGTACCGCTGAGAAGAGTCCACCTGTTCACACTGGTGCAGATTGTGTGCTTAGCTGTTCTCTGGATCCTCAAATCCACATTCCTCGCTATCATCTTCCCAATCATGGTATGATCATTGTATATTGCCACACATAAACAGCAATGTATATCATGACTCATAACTATATTAGTTTCCATAAAGCCTTCTGAATATAATCTATTCAGTAAGGGATCGTTGTACTTGAAAACTTTGTACGATTGTAATTTGTAGTTAAATCACGCTGTGAACAGGCCATCCTACTGAATTGAAATGAATTTCCAGCAGTCTGTGATTTAGTATGTAATTCGAGGTTCCCTAAGGATAATAAACATTAGGGATGCATTAAGGAAACAAAAAAAAAATAGTTTGTCTCGTTCCCTCAGATTCTTGGTCTCATGGTGATACGAAAGATGTTGGACATGGTCTTCTCTCAACACGATCTGGCATGGCTGGACGATATCTTGCCTGAGAAGGAAAAGAAGAAAAAGGAGGATGAAAAGAAGAACACCAAGAAGGACAAAAAGAAAGGCAAAGGAGGGGATGACAGTGAAGACGTAAGTGTTTTAGTAGCCCGATTATTCAAAGAAAGACACAGACTGCTGGGATTTAAATGAGAGAAGTTTTATTTGACTTGACTTAAGTCATATAAAAATGGTCTATCTATCATTTTGGACATCCTAAACTATTGTATTGTGCTTCTCTGGTGCCACCTTCTGGTGGAAAAGCCTCTTGTACCAATAAAGCCTCAAAAACAAACCTGACACATTCTACACATGCATATAGTAATCTCCATCCATTCTTTGGTCAACAGGCCAAGTATAACCCTTATGCAAACTGCTCCCCCAGTGATTCGGACTTGGATCGCAGGTACTGTGTGCTCAAACTACACGTTCCCTACCGTGACCTCTTACAGGCGCCAGACTCCAACTCAGAGTGGACAGCACGAGGCCAACCAGGCAGTTACTACTACTGATACAGGCTTTGTTAGTTTTTAAAAATGCGAGAGCATTTCCTCTTAAAAACACATCCATTCTACTAAAGACTGCATTAATACTTACAGTAGAAATAGATGACATAGTTGAGAGGTAGCTCTCTGCATATTAAATGTATAACTGCTAAGACCAATAAATAAGGTCATGCAAGACCTTGTATACAGTATTTTGCTATATTCTCATTGCCCTTGCCATGCGCTTTGAACCAATGCAGATAGAATTGTTTTCATGCAACCACCAGTATTTTACTCTGCATGCTATTATATAAAATGTGTAATTTTTTTGTGTCATGCATATTGTTTTTCTTTTGCTTACACTTTCACACCTAAAGAACACACATATAAATAATAATAATTGAACTTCCATAATTAGATGTGGGTACAGTTTCTGTTTATTTCGTTGAAATACTGGGAAAGATGGCAGTGAGAAAAGTTTATATTTGATTTACTTTTTTGCAAGCTTTCTAAAATATATTTTTAGTAGTTATAACGTGTGTAATGTAACAATGTATACGAATTTTGGTTGTTTCTTTCCCTGTATAATTGTGATTCCAATAAGAGTTCTCATCTAGAATAACTCTGTGCTTTCTAGGGTTCCCCTCCCCCCCAGCCTGGTTCCTCTCACACTATATCCACATCCACAACCCATTCTCTGTATCACTCTGATGTAGAAATGATGTAAAATCTGCTGGGTTTCATGTCTGCATTGCTGTTCAGGGGGCATGGTTTGGATGAAGTGTTCACTTCAACAAAGGTTCAATTTGTTAACATTAGTTATTGCATTAGGCATCATACTGAACTATTATCATAATAGATATTATAGCATTTCTTAATTTTTACATATACTATATGTATATGTTAATTGTTAATGTTCATATATTAATATTCAACATTTTATAATAAAACTATTACTTTATATTATATTTTATACTTTCTGTATACAGAAAATATATATGGGTTCAGTAATATTTCATACATAAGATAAATGTATAATTTTTTGAGCAACAACAAATTAAATTGATCAAAAGTGACTAAAGAGTTTCACAATGTTACAAAAAAACTAAAAAAAAATTGTAAATGCTTTTCTTTTGAACTTTCAATTTATCAAAGAATCTTGAAAAAAATCTATCTACATATGTTTCCACAAAACATTAATAAGCTAATAAATAAGCTAATATGATTTCTGAAGGCTCAAGGCTGCTGAAAAAACAGCTTTTCCATCACAGGAATAAATCATATTTGAAATATATTTTGAAATAGAAAACAGTTATTTTAAGTTGTAATAATATTTCACAATATTAGTCTTTATTGTATTTTGATCAAATAAAATCAACCTTGGTGAGCATTAAAATATATATTTTTAAAATACTGACCATTTTTAACATTCCTGTTAAAAATTTTATATATTACATTATATATTTTTTAACATGAATGTTAAAAATATATTATAAATGTCTGATCTAGAAATGAACATTAACCAAAAACCAAAATTATTTCATGATTCCTAATGCATTAACTAATATTAATGCAGAACCTTATTGTTAAGGTATACAATAGTTGCCCTAGTATTTATTGCATTTAAACACTTTAATCTCCTTAACCAAGGGCAAGCATACTGAGCCTTCTTCCTGATTTGGGTGTCCTCATCCACATTCTTTCCCCTGAAACACTTGTGCAGTCACCTGCATCTAACATCTTAATACAGACTGCTCCTCAGCTGTTCCTCCTTCCTGTCATTGCCCTCGCCTCTTACTCCTCCTCACTCTTGTAACTGGAAGTTGCCATTCCACAGCATCACTCTGCATCTGAAGATCTCCTGTCCATCGTCCCCGGCGATGCCAATGGCCAGAGGGATGTCCTGCCCCGTGCCCCAGGTGAAGATTGAGATGGAGTCGGACTATGACGACACAGATATTAACCCTAGAGGCAGACACAGAGATCACAGGGACATGAGCAGCGAAACAACGCTATAATGTCGGTTCTGCAGTTGTGCAGTGTGGAACATTGCACGCTCTGTCTCAGCTTGTTTGAAGATCCTGTGTCGCTAACACACACGTTCAAGTTCACTTATGATATACAGAACGGATCAGACAGCACTTTATGGATAGACATAACGGTGACGTGGCATAAAGTTGAGTTATTTTAAAAGGCAAGCATTGAGCCAAAATGTACGAGATATGCTATGAATGCATTAAACATCATTTTTGTTTCTTAGTTAAAAAAAAACAAAACAGCTGTAATTGCAGTAAATTTTATTAATTGGAATCAATATAACACCATATATAATGTGAAGGCAGAAATATTATTTTCTTACTACAAATGAGAATATATTTTAGACAAAATCAGTTTATATATATATATATATATATATATATATATGCAGTGAAAACTTTTTGTATTTTCATTTTAGAAAACTAGGTCAACTTTATATTCAAGATTCAAGTACCTTTGATATGATGATTACAGGGATAAACAATTGTTTTTTTTCCTCTGTAATTGCTACCTCTGGGTCTAGTAGTGTTGCCTTTCTCCGAACAGTCATGCTTTCCCTTCCTTTCCCTTTGTTGTCCTGCTTATAACACTCAAAAATCAAAGTTGGGGAAAAGAAACAACCAAAGAACAAGCTCTGAAATAGCAAACAAAGCAGATTTTGGCCTGAAGGTTTCAGAATGTTTGTGTGACTTGTGTTCAGTGTACGTTGGATGTTTTTTTCTGTATATGAAAAAGTGTAAAATGGAAAGGTTGCAAATGATGGATATTGGCCAACATGAGATTTAACCTCTGTAGGAATAAAAAATAACTTTTTATAAGGTTCTTTATAAAATAATAATTCTGTTAGTATTGCTGTAAGCAATAATTCTGTTTCCTGGCAACTTGCAGTTTGGTAAAGGAAATGAGGTGGCAGATTAAAAATATTTACTGAAATTAATGTTTTTGTACATATAAGCCATATACCAATTATTATTCTTATTTTTGTTTGTTTGTCTGTTTATTTATTTTAATGTACATCTCAAATTCCTTGTATATATTAACAGTTCATCCTAAGATAAGACATTGACTAACATCAATAGCAGGTTTAAAACCACTACATTTACAATAATTTGGATATTTAATCAGGTCATTTACAGTCAAAATTACCCATAAACATTAATCAACTCTTATACCTTTAGTACTGATTTTGAAGAAGGCACCAAAATCATTTTACCCTGATTGCTGACCCACTAAACAAAGTACAATAAATTAGACTAAAATCTTTAGAACAGCACCCATATGCATTGAACAACATCATGTTAAAGAACATGACAATGTACTACTAGTGTCGTCAGGGTCCATGGTGAAGCCATCACTGAATCCGTCACTCTCCACTAGTGTGGGTCTCTTACCACACATAGGGCAGAGTTTGTTCCTCTCATGTGAAGCTCGCATCCATATGATCAGGTTCCAGCGTGTGCCGGAGGAGATGGGTAGAGCTCCGTGCATGTGCTGGCCTCTGTGAAGCAGACCTTCGGTTACATGATGCTCCACCTCCACACACTCCGTCTCACTCAGAGGCACCTAAAACAAACGTACATGATCAGGACATTGTAAATACACCTTTAACATGTATTACTAGGCTGCATGCTTGTGCTGCCCACTGTTTCATCCAAAAGAGTCAATGTCTTTGTAAAGTGAACTAAAGTGTTGTATAATCATGAAATAAAATCTCTTCTTGAAGAAAGTGTTCGCTTGTGCTTTTAGGGGGGTTGAATGGTGAATGTGATAATATTTCATTTTATTTTATTCAACTGACTGTATGCATTAAGCAGAAGATTATCCATTAAATCAGGTTTTCCAAACTTCTTGATGCAAAGGCCCCTTAAGTAAGGACTCCCCTTTTCTATATATATATACACTGATTTGTACTGGTTAGTGTGTGAAAATGATTAGGCATGATATTATGCATGTGGTTTCCAAAAGTAAATAACTGACATTTAAATTGTTAATGCACATAAAGCCATAGCAAATTACTATATCTATTATAAAATCTATTTAAAATGTATTATACTAAATTTTAAATATTTAATCTAGAAAATACTCAGAAAGAAAATATTCAGTTTGTATTATGTTGTATTAAGCATTTTTTTCTACCCAATATTAGAGCATAATTAGACTGTTAACTTGTTAATTTTGACAGGCTAGGTGTGTGTGTGTGTATATATATATATAGTTAGATGTAGAAGCTTAAATATTGAGATATAAAGAGTTATTAACATCTCAAGTTTGACAGGCCAAAAACTGTGTGGGAATTCTCAAAAATTGTCTTATAATCATCACATAATTTTCAAGCTCTTATTATAAACTATAACTCACAGCACCTGTCTCATGTCTCCAAAGAACAGGTTCCCTTCCGTGAAATCTTTCCCCAGTGATACATTGAGAGTGACTTCAGCGTTGTCATAATGATAGCTAAGGTCCAAGTCTTCACGCATAGCATACTTGACCACGAAAGCCTTGTGACTGTCCAGACAGCTTCCTCCACAGTCGCTGTAGAGCAGAGCCGTGAGTGGATGCAGATAGACCTCCCGCAGTGGGGTGATGAAACTCTCATCAAAGCCCAGTTCATTCAGCAGAATCTGTATTCATTGAGAGAGATGTCAGATTATTATTAAACAGAACAATATTAGTCTGCCTTTTGATGGCAATGTCAATCACACAATCTGGATTAAGTGTTTATGATAAAAATGTGTACTCCATAATTGTTCATGGTGTTCGGCCGGCCCTTTGGTGCGTCAGACTGTTCAAAATGCTCCAGCTCTTCTATAAAGTCCTTGCAGAATTCCTTTCGGAACACCGGGAATCGGAAGACCCTTGGTGCTGCAAAATATACAATTTGTTGGCATCATTTTTCTTCCATAATAATTTCCATAGTTTGGAAACTGAGAAAAGAAGCAGCTCACCTGCCTCTGTCTGAATGAGATTCATCAGTCCTTCCATGGTTGCATCAGTAGAAGTACAGTATTTTACCAACTGTAAAAATTCTGGAGCCAGGAATGACTCCTTGCATGGGATAGATGATATTATAATATATCAGTGAACGAATCTGAATCATAGACTACCTGCACTGCTGAATATAAGTACCTGCAAATAATAAACATGTTGATGTAGAGGTGTATAAATCTCCTTGATGGTAGCTGCTCTCTCTGCCGATTTCAATTCATAATGCTGGCGTCTCTCGATTTCCGCATGAATCTATAAATAGACGACTGAGTAAATAACCACCCTCTTACAGCCTTGATGTCCATCGTTATCACAAGAGTGATTTCTGCTCTCTCACCTTTCCAAGCACGTCTCTGAACTGAGATTCAGACACACAACCCAGGGATCTGAGGATCTTAAGCAAATGTTAGTGGTGTACAGACACAATGGCTAAGTATTTAACATGAAGACATTTGACATTGTTGTTGTCCAAAGAACTTACATTTTGATAGTCCTTCCTGAACTGGTTCTCTGAGACGAAACGCACATGAAGTTTGTATTCTTCAAGAAAAATATTATCTCTGAAAAAACAACTGCACGTGTAAAATCTCTCCATAGTGTTTTCAGATTTGACTAATACAGATTTTGTAATTCTAACTACATACTGCTATATATTTATACAGGTCTAACAGCTATTTATACAACTCTCGACCCCGGTAGGTTAGACCAGAACTGTCAATCTCTTCAGAGCTCCGCCCACTCAGTGAATGTTTTGGAACAACCAGAAATATGTCCGTAAAGAAACAAACTGCTTCGCTAAAATAAATATATAATTAAAATAATCAGATTTAATGATGCTACATTTTTCTGTGTAGATGAGTATAAATATTCGAGACATATCTTGCATTAGTTCCTATCTCAAAAGAGCGATAAATACCGAGTGATAAAAGTAATGTTTACATCCTGGTACGTCACTTAATTCCTTCCGTCCGACTGTTATTGTGTGCGAGTGTGCAAATTCAAGGCAAAACTCGAGTTGTTCAGAAACACGTTTTACTTGTCCCCTGTAGTTTTGAATTTAAAATTGGATGGTTATTTAGCTGTGCCATCTGTTATGTATTTAAAGCCTGGGAGCGTATATTGGCAGCAGAATGTTGAGTGTGGACTCGTTGCCAGTTGCCGAGGAGGAGGTGGTGGAGTCCAGCTCTAACAGACTGGGGGACATTTACACGTTTGTTGCCGAAGGCTGTTATCCTCAAACCATGAATACTATTCGCAAGAAAAACCTTAAAAGATATGCTCAGAAATTTATGATTGACGGTGAGAGCAAATCTTGCACATGTTACATCAGAATCGTTATAATATCACTAATCTCTCTTTCAATGTTTTGCAGTATTTCCTGGAAACATTGTTTAAAGACAGAAAGCTTTTTATTTTCATTTCTCATGTTACTATGTTAACTTTTGACAGGCTGAACAATAAACTGTTAGTGTGTATTTGTGGTAAGGTAATTTTTTAACATTACAAATTAACAGTAACTTAGATGTGTTTATTTAATTGTTTGTTTATTGATTAGTGCTTTGTTTTGTTATCTCTTACCTTTCTCTGTGATAAATTCTATAGATGGCCGGTTGTATTATGTGGGCCCGAAGAAAGAAGAAAAGCGAGAGGTAGTGATTGAGGCAGAGCGGAAGAGACGGATATTCCTGGAGTGTCACTTCAATGACATTGGGCATCACCTGGGACAGAAGAAGACTGTTCACAGGATTCAGAGTAAATACTACTGGCTTGGCATTGTCAAGGATGTTGTGGATTGGGTATGCAGTGGATGTCATCAATCTCACCCTTTTAGGAATGGAGGTGTTTGGTATTGTCATGTTAGTCATTCATGCCGTCACCTACAAGTCACTGTATCATCTGTTTCAGATTAAAGTGTGCGAAACGTGTCAACACGCAGAGCGGAATAAAAACCTGGCTAGAACGGTACGACCCATCAAAGTGGACGGTCCTTGGGACATTTTGGCAGTTGAAATAATTGGTAAAATTTTGTATGGGACTTTTAAGCAGTCTAATCTGTCACACATTTGCCCAAATATTGTAACCAAATGTCTTCACAAACAGGTCCATTCCCAGGCACTGTACATGGAGGGAACACACACATTGTTATTATTACAGATTACTACAGTAAATGGGTAGAGGCCTTTCCTGTACAAAAGAAAGATGGTCTCTGTGTTGCACGATGCATTTCATCATCTGTTTGCAGGTGAGATAATATTGCACCATTAATGAAGGATAAATATGCTGATTATTGCTAAAATGCATTTTTTCCCCCTCCAGATTTGGCCCTGCAAAGACAATATTTTGCTCTCAAAGTGCTGATTTCTGTGAGGAGGTAAAACATTTTGTCAAAATACCAACCTTTTATGCAAAACTTGTTCAACTGTATTTTAACAGCGTTATTATTGATTATTATAGGTTACAAAGCATCTGTGTGACCGGTGGAACATAGCGCAAAGAGTGTTGTCGGTAGACCAGCCGCAGCGGAACGCACCGTATGATTGCAGCAGTAATCTGCTCAGAGATGCCATAAAACAGATGGTAGTGGAGAAACGGGTGGAATGGGATGATTTTCTCGATTCAGTTTTGGCCACCTTCAGGACATCAGTCAACCCTACAACAAAATTTACACCACACTTTTTAATGTTTAACAGAAACGCCAGCATATCTAGTGAGGTAAGAAAATGAACTTTTAAAGGAGACATATTATGTCCCTTTTTACAATAAGTAATATAAGTCTCTGGTGTCCCCAGAATGTGTCTGTGAAGTTTCAGCTCAAAATACCCCACAGATCATTAATAATTTATTATATAATTTTGAAAATGCCCATTTTGAGTGGAAGCAGAAACACGCTGTTTTTCGTGCCTTTCTCTTTAAATGCAAATGAGCTGCTGCTCCCCGCCCCCTTTTCCAGAATAGAGCTGCACCATTACAGCTCCATCTGTTTTGGTTCTGATTATCATGTTTATCGCACTGAAATCATGCGTTTTAAAACATATTAGTTTAAACTTCTGATATACATCTGCTGAAAACATCTGTTTTGGTTCTGATTATCATGTTTATCGCACTGAAATCATGCGTTTTAAAACATATTAGTTTAAACTTCTGATATACGGTTTTCGGAGTGCACACGGACAGAAAGCGGCTGTCACAGCATGTGAGTACTAAACTAAGTTCTCATTCACACACAAGTTTATGTTAAAAACAGTAGCTGTTACAAAAACAGTCGGTTATGTCTGTGAAGGTAAACAGCTGGGAAATAAATCCCAGCTGCTTATTTTAGATCTGTGTGGCAGCAGCAGCAATATACAGTAAATAAATCAATAAATCCACTGCTCTCTTTTCTCCTCTGAGGCTGGGACTCTAAATAGTGTTCTGTGCTCGTCTGTGCAGCCAAAGGCAGAACATTAGCATTAGAACTGGACTGGTACACCGTTGTCGCTTGCGAAATCAAATGACGGCGCCGTGAGTGGAAATGTACAGATTAAGGGGCGGTAATATTATAATGAGATCCCTTTGCCACGTCACCAAGAGAGCGAAATCAGACGCGCTCGTTTTCTCAGACGCTTGCAGAAAAAGGCTTACCAAAACAAAGGGGTGGTAATATTATAATGAGATCCCTTTGCCACATCACCAAGGGAGCGAAATCAGACGCGCTCGTTTTTTCAGACGCTTGCAGAAAAGGCGTACCAAAACAAAGATCCTGGGTTAATCTTTTTCACGTTTCCTTGTTTGGTAGATGCACCGGGGACCTGATTATAGCACGTAAAACCTGGAAAAGTCAGATTTTCATGATATGTCACCTTTAAGATATGATCATTTTGTGATATGAATTAATGATTTAATGTAAGAAGTAGTGTGCTTTATTGAAAAAGTAGTCCATAAAAAACCTAATTAATCACTAATTTTTCTGTAAATAATCGCACCTAACATTAGAATTTAATCATAAATATATTTTCACACTTAATGTAAAAACAAAATAAAGACGGTATATTTTAAATTTGTTTATTGGCATCTAGGCATATACTTTCTAGTAAGCACTATGAATGAAGGCAAGTATCAACGATTACAAAATATGATACTTATATCTCTGTTAAATGGATTCAATTTCTGGGAAGAAATTAAGTAAATACAGCCATTCAGCATTACAGTAAAATTTGTGCCATTATTTTAACATCCAATAAGCCTAAACTGTTACAGAACATTACAAAAAATTATAACTTTTAATTAAAGTCAACTTAAAACAATCTTCACATAAACCTATTATAATAAATGCCACATTTAGCTGTGCCTTTAATTTAGTGTGTTGTATATAGAAACATAGTGCATGTTTCTGTCTCTGTCAGTGTTAGCTCCCTTTGTTTTAATGAGAGCTATCAATCTAATTTTACCCCCACTAAGTTTATTTTGAGCATTCATTTTCACAGTTAATAAGAAAATTAATAGTTAAAAAAAATTGGTATCAATATTTTTATGTGAGAATCAATCCTCTTGATACAACGTCAGTATCACAAGTGTTTACACTTATTTCAACACTTACACCTGCATGTCTTTATCTATCACAAGCACATCACTGACAGGATGAAAAACAGGTAGCCAGACAAAGCTTGAAACACGCAAGTGGCCTGTGTGTCACACACATCGTCCTCACAAAGAGGAGCGAGAGGAGGTGATCATAGGATAGGTCTATATGCAGACCATCCTTGGTCAAACCCACTCTCTCTCTCTCTCGCTTCAGAGCTGGTGCGCGGCACACAGATGGTAATAAGCAAGAAGTTACACTGACTGAATTGCTATTAATAATCAATTTCTTATTTTTCTTTCTTATTTTTTAAAAACACAGTTTGATCCTCTTAGTTGCTATCAAGACCAGGAGGATGAGACTGTTAATGAAGAGGACACAAATGCTTTTCTTTCCTCCATGCATGAGCAACAGAATAACATCAAACAGATGGTAAAGTCTGGGCATTTGTTTTAGTTAAAATTTTCTTAGTCCTGTTATTTACTAATACAGTACAGTTCTCAATTCCAGTCCTTGCGTACCACCACTCTGCACATTTTGTATGTATCTCTTATCACTTCAGATGTTTCTTCTATCCGACCTTAAAGGTGCAGTAGGAGATCTTGGAAAATGCTAACTTTAGCCTGATAGCACTGAAAGCGAACGTCCCACCCTCCCTGCAATCGCCGTCCAAAGTCACACCCCTGAACGCATATACACTCACAGACCAGAATACCAGAGACAACATTACTACAATAAGCTACATCAGCGGTTCCCAATTCCAGCCCATGTTCCAAAGTGAAGTAAACTTCAACGGATTTACCCCGCTCAGGGAGTAGGGAGCAATGAACACTGTGTAGGGATCATATCGATCAGAACACAGTTCATGCACATAGCTCACTTCTAACGAGCTGGTTATCTGAATCGGGTGTGTTAACTAAGCTAGACATGCAAAATATGCAGAGCTGGGGGGCGAGAGGACAGGAATTGGGAACCGCTGGACTACATCGTGTGTCATTCACCAGTGAGAAAACTTTAAAAGTACTACAATACCAGGAAGGAAGATCGGGTTGTTGATGTTTGTCTGCCATTCTGTCTACACAGCGTGTGTGAACGCGCTGATGACGTATCCTGTCTGCGCGAACAGGGTGCGCCAAGGTATGCTAATACATACATTGACAGGCAGGTAGGAAAGCCAATTAAAACGCTCGGACCGAGCGTTTTGATTGGACAAACATTTCTTGGTCCTACGCCTTCCACAGAATATATAAATACAGATAAATACATTTAGGCCACTTAACGTAATGATTGCTATCGTGATGTGAAGAGAATTTCAACCAGCATAACAAAAAATGTTTCTGAAGACAATCACCTATTGCACCTTTAAGTGCCCTGCGAAGTGGACATCACAGGATATTCCGCCATGATTCCAGTTCGAAGGGAACGTATATGTTCCATTCAAAGGGCATTAAAGTGTGCAATATGTGAATTTAAATTGTATTTATTTACAGAGGCATATTATGTCACACTTATGTAGTATGCTTCGTCTGTATGTGAAGACGCTGCAGTTGGTGGCATAGCTCAAATCTGTGAATGAATGTTCCGAAGTGAAGTAAACTTCAACTGATTTCCCATGCTCAGGGAGTAGGGAGCAAAGAACACTGTGTAGGGACCATGTCAATCGGAACAAAGTTTATGCATGGAGCTCTCTTCTAATGGACTGATGATCTGAATCAGGTGTGTTAAATAAGAGAGACATGCAAAATATGCAGAGCGTTGGTACGCGAGGATTGGAACGGTACAATAGAACGGACTGGAGCGTTCTATTGTACATGTTTAACAACTAGCATTTATTCAAAAAGCATGTCTAAAAACACGGATTTTAGTGCAGACAAGCTTAGAAACACTGATTTTAGTGCTTTGAAATTGTAATTTCACACCATTCTCCTGATAATGTTCTTTTTGCCTATACAGGTAGTAACAAATATGAATGTCGCATACAAACAAGAAAAGAAAAATGCAAAACGCAAGGCTAGAAATATGCCTTCCATCACTCTCACTGTGACGGACCCATTGTTCACAGAGGAAACGCCCTCAGCAAAAAAGCTTAAGGAAAGCCTCTACCTGTGTTTCCCAGTAGAGACAGTCCTAACCACAGTCCAGAATGTACCCGAAGCCAAGAAGAATGGCTTAGAATATCCTCTAACAGACTCTGATGTGCACTGAAAATCTTTTTTTTTTTTTTTTGACTAATCATAAAGCACTATCCGCAAAGTGTATTTGCATAGGCTACAGCTTGAAGACTTGATATCTGCAGTAAGTGGTCCACAGAGAGCAGGTCAAGCAGATGAACTCATGTTCACTTTCTGTTTCAGAACATAATGTAGCAAGATTAAAAGATTGTATTTTACCTCAGGCGTTCATTGACACTAATGATGGTCTTAGTTTTTTGTTTAGTCACTGAACTACACACCCAAAGATGTAGAAGTTTGTTTTGCTTGGTTGACTCATGTCCCAAAAGACATTTTTATCTGGATTTGCTTTAGATTAGTCATCTGACGAACACAGATTTCAGTATTATCTGAAAGAATGTTGTGTAAATATTAATTATGAAGATTGTAATATTCAGCGTTCATTATCACAGAAAATAGATGTTCGTTTTTTGTTCTAACTGATTTTTTTCAGATCATTATTATGTGTCTATTTTTGTCTTTGATAATAAGTCCAAATTTGCAAACGGCATTTTTAAAAAAGTGCTTCATTGTTTACTTAATCACCTATTCATCCACGTGCGTGGAAAGGAAACTTTAAGGTTCTTTATGTCATTACATAGGTATAAAGTTTCAGACTTTATCTCATAAATACTTTTTGCTCCATTATGTTTTAAATTATGATAAATGCTACCCAACAATTGACTCTTTTCATTTGTAATAAATGGATTTGTTAATCAGTTAAAATCAGTTACTCTGTGGCCAATGTGACACATCTCGTGTAACTTCCTGTTTGCCTTTGAAATAACGAGGGTTGAAACGAAGGTGCAAGAATGTGACCACAGATTGCAGCAATAAGGTTGTGCTCACCTTGTTACTTGTGACATCATTTGGACAGCCTGCCACATGTCTGAAATAAACCGTTTAGTGTTGAAATGCCATGTTCTTGTTTAAAATAATATTTTATAATTCATATAACTTTTGTTTGTTAAATTTATGCTACAAACTGGTTGCTAAAAATATTAAGAATTACAGCGCCATTAGGTGATATTTTAGCTTCTAGCTTCATTTAATTATGTATATATAAACACCAACCTATTAGAGCTGCCAAAACCTATTTTTAACTTTAAACCGCACTGATAGCAACGCCACAATGGTGGTAGAAATAGAATAGAAACCCATGTGGTGATTAAAAATCCTTCAAAGCCTCAACTGTGCTTATATAAAATACGGACAGCACGGAGTTACTTTTTTAATTACATTTTTTTTATAAAAAATAAAACAAATGTAGAAATCATACGAATGCACCTTTCCCTATAAAATAAAAGTTCTTCATACTTTTTACTTAAAAAATGTATTTTCCTCAATATTTAAGAGTAAAATTATAACCTTGTGTAAAAGAGGTCGACTTTAATATACTTAGAGGACTTGTTATTTAGATAAGAGACTTAAAAAGAACATGCTTAAATGCAAGCTGGATGTAATTTTTCAGACACTTAAATGCATGTTATTTACAATTAAAACAAAATGTATTATAGTGCAAATTTATGTGAATTAGTTGAATTTGAGCGGTTTTTTGATCCACTTAATTTTGACTTGAGTACATATTTATATATTATTTCATTTTACAAGTGTTCTGCCAACTGTGATAAGCATTTATAGTAAACTAAAATATACGTGTTAACATTTTTTTTTTTACTTTGCCAACGCATCAAAATAAGTGTACTTCTTAAAGCATGACATCAGTGCACTTAAGTGTATTTTAGTGTGTTGCGAAAAATAGTTATGGAAGTGTAACTACTTTTGAAGAACACTTTTAAAAGTGGCCTTTTATTTTATAAGTTAGGTTTTCACTTTATACATCTGTAGCGCAAATACAACCAATTATATCCAATTTAAAATTTTGCCTATATTGTTGAAATAAAATGTCCTCACGAACTTTCCTTCAAAATATGTAAATAGCCTACTTGTGTACATCACCAATGTGAGCAGAGCCCTTTCTGATTGGCCGGTTGTCACGGAGGCGGGGCTTCAGTACAGTATTCTTTTCCCCCTTCCTGTCATTGCTCCGCGCCGCTAAGGAGAGGCGATGGATGTTGCCTGCAAATTATGGGACTAAGATGAGTTTTGTTATTGTACCGGGAATGCTGATTTACGAAGGGAATAAAGTGCTGATTTTTAGACGGAAAATATTGGGATTTTCATGTATTCTGTACTGCCCCAATGAATGAGTCTGTGATAGTGCCGGGTGTCAAGCTGCGCAGGCCAGCGAATCAACTTGACTGCCGCGGTACATTGACATAGACTCTGTTTCACTCGCGCACCTTTTATTACTATTCCAGGCCTGTCAGTCTGGTTTCACGCTGTCGTGTCATTACTAATGTTTACTCGCCATATAGAAATCACTTCCATATAGATTTTTTGCTGCTCATGTTTACCGAGAGCATTTGTATTTCAGCAGCTTCAAGGCTCCTCAGCAGGTGTAGGAAAATGAAAGTTGCTGTGATTATTAGTGGAAACCTGGTTTTCACTCTAGTGGATGTTGTGGTCACCACAGTCTTGTATGTTCATGGATCAAGTCTTGATATATTTTCAGAAGAATTAGAGGAATTTGACATACACCGCTCAACAGTGGACTTGTGGGGAACAGTTCTCATACGGGCCAGTCTTCTTTTCGGGGCCTCCATCGGGGTGTTCTGTAACAGGAGTGATGGTCCACAAAGGGTTTCAAACATGGGGACACTGGTTTCTCTCATATGCCTTACCAACATGACTTATGCTCTTGCCAAGTTGTTGATGATTTCTGAGGAGGGAGCTCTGATGTATGACCCCTGGTTCCTAGGTTTGTTCTCCTGGACTTGCACATCAGCAATAGGCATCATGATCTCATGGAAGCTGCTGTCACAGACTCCCAATGCTGTATCTGAAAGAGAGGATAGCGAGGAGACGGAGAGGCTGGTGGATGGCATCGAGACAGAAGATGAGTCCAGTAAGAAGAGCTGGAAATCAAGGAAAGAGCATCCCCATTCAGGGGCCACAATTGGCCGTCTCTTGTCGTACTGTAAGAAGGACTCTGGTTTGCTGGCCATTGCTTTCTTCTTTCTTCTCCTCTCTGCTGTGTGTAAGTTCACTTATGGCTTAAATATTCTAAGAAACGTAATAAATTAAGTAAACATCATAATTCAAGTGATATTTTATGAGTTAATCTTTTATTTATCTATCATTTGTGACAGTAAGTAATGCTAATGTTGGCCCAGCAGTCATTCTTAATAAACAATCTCATGGAATGTATAGTAAATGTACAGTAAGGTTGTATACATTAGCATCAGTTAACACAATATTTAACATGAACCAACAATGCTTTTAATGGACTAACAATGAACACTTACAGCAACATGAATCGTGATACATGATGCATTAAATATTTTTACTGCATAAGACCTTATTGTAAAGTGTTATGAAATGTATTTAACGTATAATGTCAATCTAGCTTTTGAGAGTTTGGACTGGAACTGGAATTGTTCTTTTAGTTATCAAAACACAACCTCTCACTGTCTTTTTTTTTTTTTTTTTTTT